CGTGACTTGAAAGTAAACATTCCGATAACGAAGCAGATCTTGAATGTCAGGGCGATAGCTTTTTGGAATAATAAAAAATGAAATAACGATTCACGTGTTTACTCCTGCAGGAATCCTTCCGTGGGATTCGGGAGAAGGTGGACAGTCGGGCAGTTTAGGGTGGGATGGACGGATGGGGAGGGAGGGAAGGAGGGTGAGAGAGAGGCCGAGGGAGGAAGGGAGGGAAAGAAAGAGGAGACAACGAAAGAGAACGCAAGAAGGAGTAGGAGGAGGAGGAGAAGAGAGATGATAGATAAAAAGGAGAGGAAATAATTTATTAAGGATTTCCTTTTTTCCAAAGTATGACCCTCCCCATCTGTTCTGAATCATAGTGGGTGTGTATGCATGTGCTTGGATGCATATGTGCGTGTGAACATTTGTACATCCATGTGTACATAGTACAAAGATGTGTTCAACATGTAAATATGTGCATCCACATGGGAATACCCTGTAAATGTATACATCCATGTGTGTATACCCTGTAAACGTGTGCAGCCATGTGCATATAGCATGTGTTAGTGTGCACCCATGATTGTATAGCATGAAATGTGTGCACATGTAACCCACTGTCATTAAGCGCACCCGTGTACTCGGCTGTGCATATGTCAGCCACTCCCTCTCATCGATAAGATCCCTCAGCCACGTCAGACACAAAGCCCAACAAGCTCTCTGCCCTTCGCCTGTACCCGCGCGTGCACCTAATATTCAAATAAATCAAATAAATAAACAGAAGATAAGTTCCTTACATGTGAGTGACATTTGTGAACCGAGTTCCCTCTCTCCTGCACCCGATCGGCTGTTCCTTGGACTCCGGCCCTCCCTCTGGCGCCCCCCTCCCCTCCGGGATTCCCGTCACCCCTCCTGCATCCCACTCCCCCTCTTCTTATCCCCAACCCTCCTTTTCACCCACCCCTCCTCCTTCACCCTACTCATTCCTCCTTCACCCCACCCCCTTTCCTTAACTCCTCCCCCCCTCTCCTTCACCCCACCCCCTCCTTCATCCCACCCCCTCCACCTTCCCCCTACTCATCCTCCTTCACCCCCACCCCCTCCTTCCTCACCCTCACCCTTCCTCCTTCAACCCCACCCCGCTCTCCTTCACCCCCACCCCCTCCTCCTTCACCCACCCCACCCTCACCCCTCCTCCTTCACCCCCTTCCTTCCTCTCTCCTTCACCCTCACCACCGCTTCCTTCCTCACCTCCACCCCCCCTCCTCCTTCACCCCACCCCCTCCTCCTCACCCCACCCCCTCCTTCCTCACCTCACCCCTCCTTCCTCATACCCCTCACCCCCACCCCCTCCTCCTTCACCCCACCCCCTCCTCCTTCACCCCCACCCCCCTCCTTCACCCCACCCCTTCCTCATCCACACCCCCTCTCCTTCACCCCACCCTCCTTCACCTCCTCCTTCACCCACCCCTCCTCCTTCACCCCACCCCTACCTCCTCCCCCCACCCCCTCCTTCCTCACCCCACCCCCTCCTCCTTCACCCCCACCCCCTCCTCTTCCCCTCACCCCTACTCCTTCACCCACCCCCTCCTCCTTCAACCCCACCCCCACCTCCTTCACCCCTCCTTCCTCATCCACACCCTCCTCCTTCACCCCCACCCCTTCCTTCACCCACCCCCTCCCCTTCACCCCACCCCCTCCTCCTTCACCCCTCACCCCTACCTCCTTCACCCCACCCTCTCCTTCACCACCCCACCTCCACCCCTCCTTCCTCACACACCCTCCTCCTTCACCCCCACCTCCTCCACCCACCCCTCTCCTTCACCCCCACCCCTCCTCCTTCAACCCACCCCCACCTCCTCACCCCCTCCTTCCTCATCCACACCCCTCCTCCTTCACCCCACCCCCTCTCTTCACCCCACCCCTCCTCCTTCACCCACCCCTCCTCCTTCACCCTCACCCCCTCCTTCACCCCCACCCCCTCCTCCTTCACCCCACCCCCCTCCTTTCACCCCCTCCCCTCATCCACCTCCTCCTTCACCCCCACCCCCTCCTTCCTCACTCCCCACCCCTCCTCCTTCACCCCCACCCCTCCTTTACCTCCCCTCCTTCACCCACCCCCTCCTTCCTCACCCCCACCCCCCTCCTGCACCCCCTGTGAGCTCATCCTGGCATCCTGTGTCACCAGAGCATCCTGTGTTTCCCTCCCTTCACGGTTCTCAGAACGTATGTGCGAACGTTTTAATACTCTCTTATCAAGCCATGTTACGCAACTTTTTTGTTTATTCGTTTACCTTTTTTTTCTTCTTTATTTACACTTAATAATTGATTTATCTATTTATTTTTTTTTTTTTTTTTTTTTTTTTTTTTTTTTTTGTAGCATTTCTGTTTTGCTTCGTCTCGGTTATTCCGATTATGTACCGCATCGCCTCCTTGTGACGGCGAGCTCTTGCGTCTCAAAAGGAAATTCTGCGGCACCGAAGAAAAGCCCAGTTCAGCGCGGCATTCCCGG